TCCCCACAGCGCCCTCCCTCCGCCACCGCCCCTGCGCCTCCGTGTGCCACTGGCCACCACGCGCCTCTCCAGCCACGGCTCCCCGAGCCTCAAGGCCATCTTCATGGCCAAGGCGTCCGTCGCCTCAAGGTCAGGTGGCTCCGCTGGGAGTTCCACCCACATTCAGGGAACAGGTCACCCCACCCAGCCCGCGTGCACCGTGAGCAGAATGGAGAGGGCGCCGCCCCGACCATTCTCTGAGGCTGGCGAAGCTTCCATTGTTTTAAAATGTATTTTTATTGATTCCAGAGAGGGAGGGAGAGGGAGAGGGAGAGGGAGAGAAACATCGATGAGGAGAGAGAATCGACCGGCTGCCTCCTGCACGCCCCACTGGGGATCGAGCCTGCCACCTGGGCATGTGCCCTGACCGGGAATCGGACCATGACCTCCTGGTTCATAGGTCGATGCTCAATCACTGAGCCACGCCGGCCGGGCAAGGCTAGCGAAGCTTTTATCTCAACGCCCGACAAGGTGATCATGGGCCAATCTCACTGATAAACACAGATGTAGAAACAAAGCAGTAACAAAAGGAATCCAGCAACACGTCAATAATAATACAACGTGTCAAGGTTGGGCAGACGCCAGGAATGAAAGGTCGGGTTTAAAGGATGAAAGTAATTATGTGTAACAAATTACAGACTTAAGTAACAGCCAGCTATAGACCTTCTGGAGGGAAGCAGAAGAGAAAAAGCTGTAAGAAGCTGGGCAGACAAGATGTCTCAGCCCATAAACAGTCTCCACTGTGAAAGAAAAGATTAACTGGACGATAGAAAAATCAAACGTCTTTCTCTGAAGACACCTTCACTTATGAAAGAAAAGGCAGGCCGCTGCCTGGGAGAAACCGGCAAAAACCACCCGACGAGGACTTGACCGGCTACAGGTCAGAGACGACAGCGGCTGCTGGGTGGGCCCGACAGACCTCGGGCAGAATCGAGAGCCCGGGAGACCGTGGCCCCGCGGACGTTTCATTTACGACAGAAGCAGCAGGAGAGAGAAGAGCTGAGGCAGCGAGGTTCCTGGTACTCAGAGCAACAAGCTGGAGCCCGTGCACCTGAGACGTCTGCTCTGTGCCTGCTGCCCACACCCGACCGCGGGCCAGAGGCACCGGGACGCCCAGGCCCAGCGGGCAGGCTCCCCAGGCTCAGGGGACAGCTGTTCCAAGGGGACTCTGCTCAACCATGACAGCTAAGCACCCCGATGGTGGCACCATTCTCTTGGCCTTGGCGCAGCCTCTGGGGGACTCTACCCAGTGTCTCCAGGGCACCCTGCCCCGTAGGGAGCACAGTGTGGAAGGGGAGGGGAGGGGTGTCTGGAGCTGGCCTGGCAGCCGCACCCCAGGGGACAGCCCAGCCTGAATCCAGTCCTCGTCGCGGCCTCCCACTCCAGCCTCAGCCTCCCTCGGCCTGTGCTGACCTGCAGCCCTGCTGCCGCCGGTCTGGCCCCTCCTCCCCACCACTCACCCGGCCCAGGGCCCATCCCCACGGGGAGGTCCCCTAAAGGTGGCAGGAGCCGCCCAGTCGGGTGTCAGCACAAACATGCCCACATTTCCCTGTACTGTTCTGACTGTAATTGTGGCAGGGCCTTAGCCAAACTGCACCACAATCAATCCTACATAATAAAGAGCTGATACGCAAATGGTCGTCACGCACTCGTGCCAGGGCTGGGGGACCTGAGGCTGCGCCCCCCGCCCCGGGGGCTGGGTCTTGCACGATTTCAAGGTGCGTGTGGGTGGGTGGCGACTTGACTCAGGGTCCCGCGGCACGCCCCAGACTCTGACAGGAGGGAGATTTTCATACACATTTTACTAAGTTTTTTTCATCTCTGACACTTCTATTATAGAGAAAGGGCAAATAGCAATATTAAAATATTTCCTCTAATTAATTCCCTTTTACTGTGCACGAGTTTTGTGCACTGGGCCACTAGCAGTAAAATAAAAAACCCCAGACGCTCACACACTTAACCAGGCGGCAACTCCCAGGCTCGGCACCCAGGGGCAGCAGGACACGCTGGGACACGGCTGGTGGTGGCCACAGAGGTGCTGCCCAGGGCCTGCCTTTGCTACTTTCTGTCTGACTCGAGGGAATTTCTAGTGGGTAACTTTCAAACCCAACGGGGGGGCGGGGGGGGGCAGGGGGGAAAGACACCCCGCTTTAATCACCGCCAACCGCTTCCGTCGCCAGATAACACAGCCTCAGGCAGACCTGTTTTCATAAAAGGGCGCTCCTTGCGCGCTGTGGTTGGCGGCACAATCAGACCCACCGCCCGTACCATCAGGGCCGGGGAAGTGCTGCCTCCGTGCCCTCCACCAACGCCGAGTGTCCTGACCGGACTCTCACACACAAACCAACAAGCCCCCAATAAATCCAACAACTTATGTGAGATGGACAGACTCCTTAAAAGACACAAACTACCAAAACTAATACAGAAAGAAATGAAAAAACAAAAACAAAAACGGAATCGTCTAATATCTGATAAAGAAATCAAACTGTTGCCCAGCTGGTGTAGCTCAGTGGCTGAGCGTCAACCCAGGAGCCAGGAGGTCACGGCTTGATTCCTGGTCAGGGCACATGCCCAGGTTGTGGGCTCGATCCCCTGTAGGGGGTGTGCAGGAGGCAGCTGATCCATGGTTCTCTCTCATCATGGATGTTTCTTTCTCACTCTCCCCCTCGCTCTCCCTTACTCTGTGAAATCAATAAAAACATATTTTAAAATATACAATTTGGTGGTTTTAGCAGATTAGAGAGTTCTGTAGCCATCAGCACCATGTAAGTTTTGAACACCTTCATCACCCTAGAAACCCCATACTCATTAGCAGTCACTCCCACCCCTTCTAGAGAAATGAAATGTTAAAATACAACTCAGAGTAACAACATAACATCCTGAAGAACAAATGAGACCCTCGAGCTGCACATTATGAATAACTGCGAAGAGAAACTACGGCGGCCGCCTGTCGAGAACGTGCTGTTTATGGACTGAAGACTCCGTGGCAATCCCCCCAAATTTAACTGCAGATCAAAGCAACCCAGTACCAGCTCCCAGAACACAAACCGGTCCCCCCGAAGGTGACAGGCGAGCAGCGCAGAAGGAAGCGCTCTGTAACAGACCCTCACCTCACACCGTGCAAACCATCATTTCAAGATGGACCGAGACCTAAAGACACAAGCCACTCTCTCTAAAATCAATGGAAAAACATCCTCAGGTGAGGATTAAAAAAGGACAATAAATAGATAAATAAATGAAATGGTGAGCTGTTCATGTCAGAGGGTCCTGAGCAGTGAAACAAGAAGCTCCTAACACAAGGACGCCGGTCCACCTAGAAACACGGGCCGGGGAGCGGATGGACAAGGGGCCGAGCCCGCGGCGACAGGGCTCGGGCACGACCTCAGAGGGCAGGGCCGACGGGCAGGGGCGGGCACCGCTCTGGGGGCGGGCATCTGCGTGCATCTGGACGCACACTTCACTGCACCCGAGACAAAACCGCCTTCCACAGCATCCACGCGACGGGAAGGAACTTCCGGGGGAGGAAGTGGGAGGCCCCGCAGGACCGAGCTGACCAGCACCTGTGTCTGCAGCAAAGTTCACACCGACCAACCGACCGACCGACCGACCGATCCGTCCTGAGGAGGACATGGTACCTGTTCACTCTCCGCGGGCATTTCTCTGGCTTGATATCCAACTCGTAGTGATAGATGTCGATTTTAGGAATGTCCATTTCAAAGAAGTTGGCCTGTAACTTGATTGTTCTCCCCGAGGTCCCGAAGTCGGGTCTGGGCGGAGGCTTGAAGGCATATCCTTGGATGGGGGGCGGTGGCGGTGCCGGAGGCGCGAGCACTGCAAGGCAAAGAGGTCACGTCACGCGGGAACGGGATCGGGATTGGGCGGCTCCCTGAAGCAGGTGGTGGCTGGGCCTGGCTGGGCCATCCTCCCCCTCCCGGGACCCCGTGCCCAGTGCCCTCACCCCTCCCTGGACTCCACGCCCACTGCCCCCCTCCTTGGTCCTCCCCTGGCTCTGCCCAAACCCCTGAAATGTTGCATTTTCCCTGCTGAGCGCTCACAGCCCACAGCCCCGCACCCGCAGCCCCTCCTGCCATCACAGCCTGGTCTGCCCACTGCCAAGACCCTTCCCACCTCAACCACGGCCGCTGCACGACCCTCGTCACCGCCCATCTGCTTGTCCCTCAGTCACCGTCCCACCCCCTCCGCCCAGAGCTCTCTGCTTCCAGGCCGTGTCTGAGTCACCTGCCAGCGCCTCCGTGGCTCCCCAGCACCAACTCGACACCTCGGCCCCTGCAAGTCCCCACAACCTGGCCCGGCCTCACCCCCCAGGGCCAAGACCCAGGCCCTGCCCACGGTCCCGGTCCTGACGGGAGCCCATCAGCTCCTCACAGCGCCGGCTCCCTCCCTCCCTCGCGTGCCCAGTGCAGGCGTGCCAGCCTGTGCTACCACCACAATTGAGGTGCCTGGCTCCCCAGTGGGAACATGAGCATCTCCGAGGGTCTGAGAGCACGTGACACACAGTAGGAGCGCAGGCCCCTCGATCCCCCTCGCTTACCCGCGAGGACACCGACACTCAGACGGCGAGGAGAGGTGAGTCACACGGAGCCTGCCCTCCACTGTGGCCCCCGCACAGCCACGGTCTCTCTGGTCCCGGAAACCGCGACTCAGCACCTCTAGTCTAGACCAGCGGCCCCCCCACCCCCCACCCCGACAGGCAGCGTCTCCACAGAGAGCCAGCGCCTCGCTCAGCGGGCACGCAAACCGCTCGGCGTCACCTCGCCTGCACAGGAGACGGGAAGGCGGGCGCTGTGAGCAACGGCAAGGAGACAGGCGAGTCATCGAGTGGCCGGCACCACCATTCACACCACCGACTGGACAGGGTGTGCCCCCAAAGGAAGCAGGAGGAGCTCCATCCCCACTGAAACGTGCAGTGATGCCACGAGAACCGTCAGGACCGTGGTCTCAGCCTCAGCAGACAGAGCGCCAGCCTGGGACTGAAGGGCTCATTGGTTCCCGATCAAGGGCACAGGCCCGGGTTGCAGGCTCGATCTCCAGTAGGGGGCGTGCAGGAGGCAGCCGATCAGTGATTCTCTCTTCATTGAGGTTTCTCTCTCTCTCTCCTGCCCTTTCTCTCTGAAATCAATAAAGATGTATTTTTAAAAGATAAAACTGTGATTTTAGGAAAATTTCCCCCCAATAATTGAATACTTTTAATTTTCACTCCAATGTCTGTGGTTTCTTAATCCCCCGAATTAAGAAAGATCCAGAGCCTTCAATGCCCGCGTCCCCTGGAACGCGCGCTCAGACGGCAATGGGAGCTGCTCCCGCTCTCCTCCCCTCGCAGCCCGCAGCCCGGGGCTCCTCGCACTTATTTTGTTTTCTTTCTGTGGAAAGCGAGCCAGCGCCCGAGGTTACTGGCCTCACGCAGCTCCATCTGGAAGCCTTCAGGCCTCTCCCTGCCGTGACTTCACAGATGACACATTCACAGATTGCACAACACGCCGTACGTGCCGGGGCGGGTGCCAGGGACAGGGACTCGCAAAAGCACGGCTCTCCGTGCTCACGTGTCGCCTCCCGGGAGCGTCCGGGCCAGCCAGCAAGTGGTAGTGGTGAGTCCACTTCTCGGAAGCCCAGCAGGTCACGTGACCCTGCGCCAGGGCTCCCACCGTGCCCAGGAGCCGACAGTGACACCAAACCCAGGCCCGCGGCACCACCCCCGCTCGCCCGCCAGGCCTGAGGCCTCACCTCACTTACATCTGACACCGACACAGGCCAGGCCTTGGGCCCATTCCTCAGGGGAGCCTGCTTTTCCCGCGTCCCCAACACCTGTTCCTTCTACAGGGCTCGCCCTGGGACACACAGAAAACCGTCCACCATGCTGTGCACGACGCTGTTAAAGCAACGCAAAGACTGCGACAGCGACACAGTAATGCCTAACTCCACCAGCCTGGTCTCCTTCCAGCTTTTTAAAAAACATATTTTTATTGATTTTAGAGAGGAAGGGAGAGGGAGATAGAAACATCAATGATGAGTGAGAATCATTGACCGGCTGCCTCCTGCACGACCCCCACTGGGGATTGAGCTCACGACCCGGGCATGTGCCCTGACAGGGAATTGAACCCGGGACCCTTCAGTCCGCAGGCCGATGCTCTATCCACTGAGCCACACCAGCGAGGCCCTCCTTCCAGCCTTTGCGAATGGCAGCCCTGAGAGCGGTGGGAAGACAGTGGGGGTGCGAGGGGAGCCCACCAGCAGGGGCCTGGCTGCCTCCTGCACCGCGGCCCCTGTAGCGGGCGCTTGCTCCAACCCGGGCACAGCATGGCTCCCGCAGTACGGGGCAGCGAGGAGGCCGTCTGGTCTGCATCAGAGGCCGTGGCCGCAGAAAACACCAGTGCATCCGCCAGGAGGGTTCCAAGACGCACCCTCGGGAAGTCACAGAGGTGGAATGTGCCGCGAAGTTGGCGGGAACTCCGGGCGCGAATGATACCGGCTGTCCAGGGGGCTTGGCCTCCCACACCACCTGGGGCGGTGGTCCAGAAACCACGAGGGTGAGGGGCCACTGAACAAGCTCGGTGCCTGTCACCTCTGACAAGATCTACAAAACCGCAAGAGAAGAAAGGAGACGCCCCGGGGCGGGCGTGGGCTCCCGGGCCCCAGGCCTCCCACATCCCCTCCATCCTCTGCCCACTGGGGCGCTGGTTTCGCCGAGTGGATTTCCTGTTGTTTCTGTAACTTAGTCCTGCTCTGCGTTGGGGAAACCCCTGAGGAATGGGAACGCGGGGCGCTGGCCAATGAGGCCGGCTGTGCTGAGGGCGCTCGTCC